AGGCTGAACAAAGAGGTCAAAGTAGGAATGGAATGGATGAGCACAGCATTGGTCTGGGGGAGGAAGGGGTCCACAGAGCTGAGAAGAGCTTTAAGTGAGAGGTAAGGCAGGAAAAAGGCCATATTGAAATACTTTGTGAGAACTTTTGAGAAAGTCACAGGAGAGACAAGGCTTCTTTTCACAAGAAAGTGGGGGCCCTTGAGTAATATTGCAGGGCACAGTGGAATATTTACTACAACTGTTGGCTACATGTACTTTGGGCTTGCGATTCCCCTAAAAGGTGCTTTGTCATGTTTACTCAGATAATATGATTTTCTTTTCACAATTACAAAAGTGATGTTTTCATTACAGGAGAATCAAGTAAAAAAAAAATTAAAAGGGAGCTCCCTGATGGTTGAATGGTTAGGCTGTGCCTCCACTGCAAGGGGGCCTAGAGCTGTCTGGCACGGCCAAAATAAATAAATAAAAAACAATTCCGCTCACTAGAAGCAACTGCTGTTATTAATACTTCACTGTTTATCTTTCTAAAGTCTCTTATAATCAGATACTTATAGTATATATTTAATAAAATTAGGGCTATATCATACATGCTATTTTATAAAGGCACTTTTTTCACTTAAAATATCTTGTAAATAATGTTCTATGTCAATAAACATAATTCTATGATAAGATTTTTAATAACTACAAAGTTGATGACAGTATTCTTCAGGTTTACCCAGCCTTTCAGAGTGATGACATTTGCTTTACATTTCAGATTTTTTTTTTCCCTTTAACAGAAAAAAATATTTTCTCTGTAACTGAGAATGGTATCTGGATGTCATGGACATTCCTGGGGGACATGGTCATTTCTCTTTTTTCTTTAGCCAAACTGCAGTAGCTAAGGAAAAGGGCTGATTTATTTCTATGGCAAAGTTCCTGATCACAAAATTTTGGCCACATCTATCAAATTCTAATTTCAGGTGAAAAGGCAATATAAATTTAATTTTGGGGGGAAACCAGAAAGGAAAGGAATAGGGATAGATGCAAAAGCATCATTGCATATCCTAAGTGCAGAAATCTTCTGGTAGTTGGGCATGCCCAGTTGATCAGAATATGGCAGGCTTCTCATAGGCAGAGCCACTAAGATGTTGACTTCTCAGGTCTGTTTTGAGGTTTCTGGGGCATAGAAGGCCTTGCTGCAAAGAGCGTGTTGTCAGATATGGCACCTTTTTCAGGTAGATGTTTCTAGCTGAGAGGAGCATAGGACTGACAAACTGAATTAATTATTGGATTTATTCCTAAGTGACTTACTCTCTGTACAACAAACTTGCTGATCATTTGCTTGCTGGCAGGGGAAGAGAGAAGATATTGTTTTTGTCCCATTTCTACTCTCTTTGCTTGGACTTCCTCCCACTTCCTGATTTTCCACAATGGTATTGTGTGGAAAAACCTATAAGACCTGCAGCTTGCAGGATCTTAGTTTCCAACTAGGGATTGAAGCTGGGCCCCTGCATTGGAAGCGTGGAATCCTAACCACTGGACCACCAGGGAAGTCCCTACATGGTGTTTTTGATAGTTATGTTTTGTTTCCAAAGACCACTATGTATTTCAAGGCAGGCACTGAAGGGCTCCAACTGACTCTAAAGGATATTTAGAATCAGAGACCACTTAGAAATAATAATACTTACTGGATATTTATTATATACTTTTTGGCATATTACATTTATAATTTCATTTAATTCTCAGGAAAATCCTCTTATTTGGCTATTAAAATGATCCCCACTTTATGGATTAGAAAACTCAGAATAGTTAGATAGCTTACCTAACCTTACACATTTAGGCAGCTGCAGAACCAGAATTCAAAGTTGATCCATCTGACTCCAGATGCTATTTCTTACCTATACAGCCCAACTTTCTGTCTTAGTAAATTCAGAAGTCAGAGAACTGGAAGAAACAACAAAATAAACCTAACCCAAGGCCAGGAGAAGTATCGACAAGTAAAATACTTCTTTCTTCTCCATAGAAAGAAAGAAATGTAGTCGCTCAGTCATGTCCAACTCTTTGCAACCCCATGGACTGTAGCCTGCCAGGCTCCTCCATCCATGGGACTTTCCAGGCAAGAATAGTGTAGTGGGTTGCCATTTCCTCCTCCAGGGGATCTTCCCAACCCAGGGATCGAACCCAGGTCTCCGGCATTGCAGGTGAACTCCTTACCATCTGAGTCACCAGGGAAGTTTAATGTCAATTTTTATACCTTTAATAAAGCTATTTGCTCAAGGTTATCTTCCTCATACCTTGCCCCCACCATCAGATGATTTTTATTTGTAGCTATGTTTAGGCAACACTCAGACTCATTGTATAATGAATTTGCCATCTGAGCAAAGATTCTCTTTTAAAGCATATTTGCTCTATTCATCCTCTGGTTTTTGCCAAGAAATAAAAAGGACAGTTCTTTCAGCTTGCTTTTAATTTTTTGTTTCAGGTATTCCTCAGCTCTAGAATTCAGACAGTCAGGTCTAATTAGCCAAGATCAGATAAATCAAGCTGAATTTTCAGATCCACTGGCTATTTTCAATTCTACAGAGCAAAAAAAAAAAAAAATTCTTCAAAGGAAATGATATTCTGATTTAGTTCTGTACTGTTTCTAATCATATATGCTTTACTTCACTGCTTGAATGCTAATAAGAGCTTCCTAGAATTCATTCCTTAAGAAGTTAAGTCATGGCATCTAATTATTTGGCAGGATGTTTTAAGTATATATAATTACATCTTCCCTTTTTGTGGTGGTGGTGAGCCAGGTCATATGCATCAGGAGAAAATAATACCTACATTAATGCTACCAACAAGGAGCTCACAGCATTTTGGAAAAACCCACTCATAATTTTAGCACATATTGGGCACTCAATCTGCCAAACTAACATCACCCCCACCTTTTTAGAAAGAAAACTCAGGCAAAGGGTAATTATACTGACCTTGCTCCATATTTCAGTCTTTAGAGGTCAGTTGTGTGAGTGTGGCTGACACCTTGCACTTGGAACTATGAAGTTTTAAATCCTGAGCAGTACCTTGGGCAAGTCCCTTCTCTTATTTCTGAGTGCCAGGCTGCTTCTTGCCCTATGAGACAGGACCACTTTTCACACAAATACAGGGCAGTGGTAAGATAGCACACTGGGCATGGCTTTGTAATTATGGACACCAAGTGATGCTCTTTTTTCCTCCGTTTATTCCACATGGTCTTAACTCTTACTCCTGTGTTTGAGGATGTTAATTGCAAAACATACTCAGAAGTTGGGAAAGCGAAATTGCAATTTCCAGCCCTGGGGTAGACCAAGTCAGTCAGCCTTGCCAAGCAGGTTGTCTTTGGATGAAGAATTTTTAGTCCTATATTGTCTGATCTACCCTCCACGGTCTTCTACAGCCTTGTCGATCGGAGGTCGGCCTGATGTCCTCAGGGCTGCTGAGTGAGAGCTCTCCTCCAGCACTTTGCTGAGTGCTTGGGTCAGCTGCTATGGGGGTAAGGAGTCTAGAAGACAGGGACTAGGTTCAGCTCTTGCCTTGCCCTTTGAGGTTTAATGTCCTTTGGAAAGCTGTCTCTCAGGTGCTGTGGACACCATAATCACTCTTCTGCCTATCTGTCCCCAGACCATTCTATGAAATACTGTTGGGAGAACACATGTTCCACCAGGGTAAGATATTTTGTCTGGATGATCCTTCTGTCTCCCAGGCATGGATCTAGCCCATAGTTGTCACTCTACGGAGCCAAATATTTCTGTGAAAGCAGGGACAACAAATGTGAAAACATTTAATAAATCTCAAAAAGATTCATAACCAGACAGAGGTCCGATCCTAAGGTATCTGAGCTTTCTTTAAAGCGCGGATCTTAGCTGCTTCTAACCTGGTCGCGGGCAGGACGGGTGCGTCATCTCCTCCCGGCTTTCCCTTTAGAATAAAGGCCAGAGAGAGCAGAGCATTTGCCCACCCTGGGGGAGAGTTTGGAGGGAGCGTTTCTCCTTCCCTGGAATAATTGGAGTCGGAGGGAGACGCACACCTGGGGAGAGACGCTATAAGGGGCGAGGCTTCGCGGCGCGTGCAGGAGCCAGGAGCGCTACGAGGCCCCAGCCATTGGGCCGGAAGAGACGTCTTGGCCTGAGGACAGGTGTGTGCTGGAGGAATCAGGTGCACCGCGCGGCCTTCCCCCGACAGGCACACCCTCCTCCGCCTACGAGTGACCTAATTACAAGGTGCCGAGCGCCCGGAGGAGGAAGTGGCTACTCCAACCACGCTACCACTCGGCCCCCATTCTTGCTTCCAAGATGCAAGAATTCCACGCAATTTCAGTACTGTTGTATCATGCAGGAGCCATGCGGTCGCATTTCTAGTTTCCTTAATTTGACTTTAGTCGCCAGGTGAAAAGCCGAAGGGTATCACCTTAGGGAAAAAGTCTCCAGCTGCACGGAGCCACCCTCCTACCCCGACCGCGCCTGCGCCACGTCCACGCCCGCGCAGCACAGGACTCAGTGCTCTGGGATTAGCCTACTTCCCGGCGGCAAGCCGGGCCCCTGCTTGGTCTAGGTCTTCCCTTCCCTCGGCCCCTCCCTTCTAGAAGACCACGCCCTAAAGGCCAAGGTGCCTCAGTAACCAGCAAGCGGCTTTGCGCCTGCGCGTCGAGCCCTACCTCGAGAGTCTGGCGGCGGATCGTGGCTGGCGCTGCAGTTGCGCAGCTCCGGTCCCGGCCCTGCTACCCCTCCGCACCCTGCCGCCTCCTGACGCCGGGCGTGACGTCACCACGCCGGCGGCCGCCATTACAGAGAGCAGAGCTTCGGGGCTAGAGCGAGTGGAGGAGGGCAGCGGCCGGTGGCCGAGCACAGAGGGGCGAGCCACAGGGCCAGCGCTAGCGCCGAGCAACCGCCAGTACCCGCACAAATACTCCGGGAACCGGCGGCGGCGTGTGCGTGTGGCCCGTGTGCGGGCGGCGGCGCGGGAGGAGCGCGGAGCGGCAGCCGGTTCGGGCGGGTGGCATCATGGACGAGAAGGTGTTCACCAAGGAGCTGGACCAGTGGATCGAGCAGCTGAACGAGTGCAAGCAGCTGTCCGAGTCCCAGGTTAAGAGCCTCTGCGAGAAGGTGAGCTACATCTCGGATGGGGGAGCCGCGGCGGGCAGAGCCCTCCCGAGGAGGCCGCCGTGGGGAGGGTGCAACATGGCGGAGGCCCCGGCCCCCCGAGCCTCCCGGACCCGCGCCCGGCGCGGCCCGGAGGCGGCTCCCGAGCGACCCGGCGCCCCCTGCCTCTCGCGCAGGGATTGGTTGTCGCTGCCACGGCCGCCTAAAATGGCGCCGTTCACTCAACTCCGGGGCTTTAGAGCTTCCCGGCCTTGGCGCGGGGCGAGATGGCTGGGGGGAGTGAGACCCTGTGGGTCGGAGTTGGGGAAGGTTTAGGTAAGAGAACTTGGGTTCTGTGGCTTGGGAATGGGGCCCAGAACTCTTCTCTGAGGTGAGTAAGAGGCTTTTTACTGGTTCTCTGGCCTAATTCTCAGGTCCAGAGCTGTCCAGAAGCTCCCCCGAAAGGCAGGCTTGTAGACCAGATCCCAGGTCCTACCTGAAGGCCCCACAGCTTTAAGTACTGTCTTGGGTGGTTTGTGTTAAACGCACCGAGCAGTCTCTTCTAGAGACTTAAGGTGTGTTTTTGAAGAATTTAAAGATGGATCTCTAACCTACTAATGTCAGAGGTGGTAGTTAAAGGAGGAGTGTAACTTCTTTTTCATAGTAGGAAGAAATGGAGAATTTGGTGAGTCATACTCCATAAGGAACTTTGGATTGGAAATCAAGTGTCAGTTTATGATTTATATGCTGACTCAAATTGGGTAGTGTGAAACCCTTCTCTAAGCCATTTTTTTTGCCATTTATTTTTTAAATGAGCACCATGAACTGTAAGAGCAGCAAATATTGTGTCCTAGCTCTTTGCTGGAAAAGTTGTGTATTTGTGACTTTAAATAGTGATAGTAATAATAATATATGTCGATTCAGCTTTTTCTGTATTCCAGACATTGTGCTTAGTGTTAAAATAATTTCTCTCAGGGATGTTGAAATTGGAATGTAGTAGTCTGTTTCAGCAAGTGCATTTTAAGTTAGCTAATTCCGAGTTCTTTTTCCCACGGAGTTGGGGAAACAGCCTGTTGGATTTAAGTCTTATAATTCAGTTTTCTAAAGTAGAGAAAATGATGAGCTCCACCATGAATGCTTCAGCTTAACCTTTTCAAAATTACCTCTGCAGCATCTCATTTTAGTTACACAGAATTGTGGAATGTCAACCTTTCTGGAATAGTGAAGGTAATTATTAGACAGCAATTATGCTGACCTGTGGTTTAATGGGAGCTTGATGTATATGCTCCTAAAACAGGCTGTTTGAGATACTATTCTGTGAGTAATTGCAATTTAAGTGAGTCTAATTCAGATTTGTTTATCCCCAAGCTTCGGCAGAAACTGTTAGTTGATGAGGTGGCACATCATCTCACCGAGCTGAATTTTAATAGTAACAGTGTAGTCTTGTGTTGCTTCTTGATCCTTAATTCATGAGGACGACGTTTATTTTAAAGGTTTAGAAATAGACTTTTAAGGATTACTTAATGTATAATGTTAGGTCTTAGTGTTCAGGTACTACTGTAAGTGATGATTTTAATGACTTCTAGGGTTGAGTTCTTACTCTGTATACTGACTTTCAGTCAGCAGTTGGCTAGGTGACTAGTCATTTGCTTAGAAAACATTGCAAGAGAGCAATGATGTAGTTAGAAGCCCACCGAACTGTGCGATAGACCTGGACACTAGTCCTCTTTCTGCCACCAAGTAATTGTCTCTGACCTTGAGGCAGCCACTTCACTTGGTCCTCCTGTCTATAAACTAGAATTAAAACAGATGTCCCAAGGTTCTTTCTAATCTGAGAGAGTACAGTTCTATTTTAAATTAGTACTGTCTTTAAATATTGAAAACTTACTAGATACCCATGATTGCTTACTTTTATGAGAAGAATGAAAAATAATCATGCTTATCCTCAAGGAGACTGAATCTAGTTGGAAATCAGTTGTAGATGGACCACAGAAGTAGAGTGTTCTTGTTGGAGACAACAGAAGATAATACTGGAGTTACAGTGGGGTGCTGAAGCTTGGTCTATTTGGTGAATGGTCATTGTTTCCCACCTCTTTGTAAATTTAGATGTGGTGACATTAATCAATTTATGCTTAATTCTCCATTGCTCATTTACTGCATCAAGATTTTAATTCTTAGAGCCAAAAAAAAAAAAAAGGAAAAAATATTTGAAGCTAGATTTCTAAGTCTTGGATCCTTTTGGGGAGATACCACACAGCTTTCAAAATGTTTTTAACTTGTTAAGTATTCCAAGTCTTAGAGCTCTGTTAGTCTTTCAAGCTAAATTAATTTGAAGGCGGCTTTTTAGATAGATGAGACAAGTTAAAGTACATGAAAAAAAGTTCTCTTTTCACCATTAATATTTGTATGACCAGTAGTACATCTAGTGAAGGCTACATATTTTGAAAACCTTGAGGGAAAAACTTTGATTAGTATTATAGTTTTTTCCTTTTTTCCCTTTTTGTTTTTAAAGAAGAGATACTTGGTAGAGATAGCTAATTCCTAATTTCTTTGGTTATAAGAAGAAAAGTGTGTCTTTATAAGCAAGAGTGAATACGGCTTTTATGTTATTAACTAGTTAAGATTTTCTCCCCCCAGGGTGTGATCTATATCAAAGCCAAGGATGTTGTTGTGTGCCTAGCTCTAGTAAACAGTCTTGTTCAGCGGTGGTTTCATTTAGGTATGATTTTTGGCTTTGTGCTTTCATGTCTTACCAAACTTGTGGAGAATGTTGTTTGTATCCAGAGGAGTTCTTTACCTAGGCATGCTATTTTCTATTGCTGTGCAAGCACTATAAATAAAATGCAGTGTGAGTCTTCTTCTGGTTGGATGACCTGCAAAATACTTGACCAAGGTTAAATTTCTATATGAAATGGGTAATATATTTTTGTGAGTCTGTATTTGTGTGTTTAATTTAAAAGGTTGTTTGACTCATTTCCATAAAGGTAATTTGAATATCAAGAACAAGCAGTTGTGGGGGCAGCATGATACAAATACTGTTTTCATCATACTATCACATACGCAATTCTCTTAACAAGCTTATAAAACAGTTATCCTCATAGATAGAAACCACACCTCGGAAATGTAGAGAGACTTGGCTACAGCGACTAAATTGAGATTGCCTAGTTTTATAGACTTTAAGCCCAATGTTCTAGTCTTACTTCACAGCCTCCCTCTCTTCTAAGGTAGTGTTAATAATGAAGGTTGCAGATGAGTTGAGGCCAAACTGAATTGCAGACTCCTCAGTTGTGTAAAAGTATAATTTTTGTTCTGATTGCTTAAAAGCTTCCTATTCATGTCACATACTGTTGTCTCACTCTGTCCTGGAGGAGGAAACAGTAATTATTCTTCAATATTGGATGTGGCTAACTGCATTTGCCTCTCAAATAAGATTAGTGAGGTGAAAACCCCAGTTCATTTTCTGTGTATTCTAAGATAGTGTAAATCATGATCCAGAGAATGAGCTCTAAAATATTCTAATAAAGCGTAACTGACATTTATATTGTTCATTACAGCTTGTTAAAATGCCTTTCTTTTTATCCTCATAGCTACCTTGATCAAGGCTGTTTGCCTGGGTGTGTTTTGTGATCTTCCAGGCGTGAATCAGTAGTGCAGTTGTCTTTGAGTTGACTTAATCAGGAAACACTAGAAAGGTGAACAGTTCTTTCTGGAGACACAAATTTCCCCTCTCCCCCAACTCTGCCTTTGTTTCTCTGTCAGAATCAAGAGTTCTGTGTCTGCAAATATGGGCAGTAGAACTAAGGTGAAACTCATGCTATAAAAAGAATGATGGGCAACGGAAGAGCATTTGAGATAACTCTTGTTTGGTGTTCTTTTTCCTGGTTTCATTGTAAGTCAGGTTTGTCAGTTACCTGTAGAGTATTATTTATTTAGTTTTGAGATGAGCTTTAAGGAAAACCAGGAGACATTGGGTTTGGATTAATGTAATGGTGGAGAGGAGTCTCTCTTGAGGGTGCTGAGAAGAAGTAGGAAAAGTTATGTGTGGCATAGAATCAACTCCCCTCCTTTTACTATTTTCTTTATATTTAGAACTGTTTCTCTTTTTTTTTAAGAGCTGTTTCTCTTATTTGCACCTTTTTTCCTTACCCATTTTTCATTATCATCCTTTTATGAAAAAACCTCAATCTGCACTCTACTGGACAAGTAAGATGTGAAATAGAGTATAACTATGAAGGGGATTTCAACTTCTGGAGCAGGAGTTGTAGAAGAGACAGAAGTGGAGAGAGGTGTGGTGGCCAGTAAATGGCTGGGGTGAGTGAGGTCTGAATGGACTGTAAAGAGCACTCTAGAACTGACTGCTTAATTTTTTCACAGTACAAAGTTACTGTTGCCTGTTGATTGATTGGTATTGTGATTTGGAATGGATGAACAAAGCAGTGACATATATCTGCATCTGGGTATTTTCTAAACTGTACATGACCAGCTGACCAGTCACTCTGGCACACCCTGTCCCCACCTCTGCCTTAGTCATTTGGTTACTACCACCAGTGGGAATTTTTACCTTTCTGTTGTTGAGAGGCCTGAAAGAAGATTGAGAACCTTTTTTCTAGAGTGCCCCTGAAAGATAAACATTAGATAACGTAGTCATGCAAAGTGTAGTTCACACAAGTTATGGAGTGTCAGTGATACTAACTGTGACAGTGTACACTTGTTTTGGAATACATTCAACCAAAAATTTTTATGCTCTCCTTATATGTTCTATTTTCACTATTTAAGTTTGTCTAAATAGTGTTGTTGTTGTAGGGATTTGTTATTGCTCTGTAGCAGGGTTTTGGATAAGTCAGGAGGTTGAACTTGTAAGCTCCAGATAGGGAAGATTTTAGAATTTTTGTGCTAGTGGCTATCTCATTGTCTTTCTCTGCTGCCCATCATCTGTAAACTGGCAATGTTGCCTGCTATCTGTTGGGGGGCTTTGACTTCCAATAAAAAAGCTTTTTAGTGATGAAAGTGAAAGTCACTCCAGT